GTGATGAAATTGAAATGTAAATAGGGTTATTTTACTACAAAGTTACTGAAGTTGGATAGAAAAAAATTGTTTGTTTTTACATCTGTATATGAATGTTTGAGTAACAAAATTTATTTTTTATTACCAATTTAAAACTGAGAAAATTAAAGAAATGTTGTGGTACACTATCAGTATTTTTTTTTTGCAAATGCCATTTATTCTCATAAGCAATTTACGTACATGATTTAATTTTATAAGACAGATGCCATCAAGAATAGTTTATGACAAAAAATTAATTACTATTGTACAAAGTAAAGATATTGTCATTAGGATGTAAGTGATTAATTACCAGATAATTTGAGTTAATGACAGCAAATATAAATAAGAATGTCTTTCTTTATAAGTAATTTTATTAATTAAAAAATTGTAATGTTTTCTTTGTTAAGTTACTTATTACCATATGTTTCCTACCTCTTATAAATATTACCTGGATTTACTTGTCACATAAATGCTTATTTTTAACATATGATAATATCTCAAGTAGCATCCTAAAGAAAATTTAGTGAAAGTGTTTTGAAATAAAAAAATTAATGAGAAGTTTTTCTCCTGGGTTCTCTTCAAAGAAAGTGAGGAAACAAAAGGCCATAACATGTCTAAAAAATAGAGGGAAAGTAGTGTAGAAAGCATTGAAATTCAAAATTCAGAATTAGTATTTAATTGTCTTCATATGTTGGAAGTAAGATTGCATATTTGCTAACTCGTCTGGCACAGATAAAAATTATTTGGTGGTTTGGAGGGAGGCAAAACATTCTCAAATATTGTGTATAATGTGTTTTAGGACCATTATGAAATGATAGAGGACACCTTTCTCTTTTGAATAGCCATGAATTCCTCTGAAACTCAAGCCTTTTTGTAAAAGGTTTAGGGTAAACACAAGTGAATCCTATGAAGTGGGTAAACATTAAATATTTTGTTATCGAAGAAAAGGAATTCTAACTTTGGATTGTGAGTGAATTATATATAAGCGAAAGAACAATTTTAATTTCTCTTGGAATACATCTTTCTTGTGAAAGTACAATAATATTATCATTATCATCTGAAAACCATTGTGATTGATTTGTTTGTGCGTAATCATTTCAGAATCAGTCAAGTAATGTGCTAAGCTTAATAAACAACATGAATTTTATATATTTGTTCAGCAATAGTTTTGTTCTTTTGTCACTGCAAAATGAGCAGGGCAGAATCCAGTTATCAATGTAATTATACACTTAAGTGTAGAAGAGATGGGTAAAGAAATCATGTTCTGTGTTAAATGTCTACAGAACATTCTTTAAGTCAGTTATTTAGTTTCTTAAAATTCAGAAGAACTTTATCTTATACAATTGTTAATTTTACCATTTGTCCAATCTTAACAAAGATAACATTTTTTAAGAAAAATGTTTTTGTAAACTAAATTGAATTTATATGGCAGTATCGAATTCTATCTCATCTGCGCATACATAGTTGATATGACATTTTTATTTATTTCCTTGTATTCAAGGAAATAGTATGTTAATATATTCGTGCACATTTCTGAATTTTTTATTTTGTTCTGACTTAGTTTGTAATTAAAAAACTATTATCCTAGATGATGTTGAGTCCAACTTCTGGTACTTTCTTAAGGCACGTATAAGAACATGTAAAATTGTTTTGTAAAGTTTGTTCTTTTGTAATGTAAAGAATGATTTCTTACCAATTTTCTACTTGTAATGAAAATAACTTCTTAAATAGTATTGAAAATAGCAATCTATATATTCAAGAAGAGAGTCTATTCCATATTTATAGAAAGAGTGTACGTTTCAAGTGAATTCCATTTGGAAGCCTTTTTCACCAATACTATAATATGTAAATACTATATTGTCATTCTGTGTTGAATAACTTGATGTATAAATGCGTTTTTGGCCAAATTGTATATTATCTTAAATAAGTTTTACAAATTACTGTGTGCCTTATATGATTGCACGTTATAAAGTTTAAGAACATACAACCATTTTTTGTGCCTCAAATTGTAGTGCATTAAGAGCTGATTTTTGTATTGTTTTTTGTACATCTATTTTTATGCAAAGTATGTAATAAAAATATTACATATATATTACATTGTTTCTACTTCATTCGGAAATTGTTTTCACCAATAGTTTTTAAAATTTATTTTCTAAAATGTGAGAATGAACATAGAGGTGACTCTACTACATACACAAATCAGTATAATGTTCACAATGATCAAAATATAGCATTTTGATTAGGGCTGTGCCCATTAAATGAAACCCATTAAAATGTTCAATTTTTTAAGAAATACATAAATAATATTAATTTTTTATAAATAAATGTTTAATAGCGTACGGCCAAACTTTTTCATCCTATGCGCCTTTCTTTCCCACATACAAGTTTCATGGTCTCTCTTTTAACATTCATGGTTAGGATTAGAATACAGGTAGGACCTGCTTTGCTTAGCGGAGAAAAGGTAATAAAATGTGGAACTGAAATAATTAATTTCTACTAGTTCACAAGGCATATGTTTATTGGACCTCCAATCAATAATAGCGAGTAATTATCTTTTTGGCAAGAAGGTAATTGCTGTGGTGGACTTCATGGAGTACACTACAGTTGCTAGTGTTGTTGGATGAAGATAACTTTAGACTGTAGAAAAATGGATATTTCTTGCACTGATTGATGCAGTTAAAATGTTTGCTCAAATGTGGCGGAAGTATTAATTATTTATGATGGGTCAAGTATAGCCTGTGTATCAGATACAGCTTTTTAATATTTTTGGGTCATAATTTTAATTTTCAATTCAATAATTCTGGAACTGTAGGTATTTGCTTTTAATGACCAAGGATCTAAAAGCAATATTTTAATAGCATAAAGCAAATCTTTACCATTTCTTGACTTGTGACTTTTGCAATAAATGATTGTGAAATTTTCTCAACATAAATGATTTTTTGGTGTTTTGCATAAAGATGGACATTTTGATTTATTATTACCAATGTTAGCAACAAAGATAAGAGCGTATGTCACAAATAATATTAACAAATTAATTGCCTATTTTTGCAGCAAAAGAATTAAATAAATATTTACCGATGGACTAGCTTGTTTATATACGAAACTCTTACACTCCAAGTTCTCAAAAGTGTGGAAACAATAATTAAAGATATTTCAGAACATCTTTTAATCAATAATTGATCCACTTGAAGTTGGGATACCCTATGATTGAATGTTAATGAATTATTAATTAAATTAATGTTAATTAAATAAGTGAATTTTTTTTATTAGCTCTTATTAGGTTTTACAGAGTCCAATTTAGATGACCAGAATATAAATACTTCCACATCCAGTAAAGAGAATGCATAAGTGTATTGACATGCTCTGGATCTTCAGAAAAATATAAATATAATACTTAGAAATATTGACCAGTGTCAGAAATACAATACCCCCACCCTCCTATCAATCCAAAATACAGGAATTCTTATGTTAAATACCAGTATATGAAATCTGAAGTAAATGTTTAGGTGTGCACACAAGGGGGCCCTGAACATTGCAAAAAGGAGTCCTGTGTAATCCTTGTGTGAACCTTGCTTAGCTCTGTGTAATAAAACATGTTATTTTCGGAAATATGTTCTATTTTCACCCTTTTTTTTAAGACAATTTGGATTCCTAATAGATACATTTTGGGCAAAAAGGCTCTCCAAACCATCTGCAACTCTGTAAATGGTTCATAAAGTCGGTTGTATGTCCTAATTCTATCATTAAAGTTATAATTTCATTATCCTTGTGTTTTGAATCTTCGTATACTATGTAAATAAAAACGTTTAATGGAAAAGGGGATACACGAGACCCCAGAAATGTAGTCCCCCCGCCGCCGGCTGTGCACACCTCTGGTTAAAACAAGGACGTCGCCCTTGAAATTTTAACATTTAAAAAAATTCTTACTTGCAAAATTTACCCTCATTTTCACGAAAATAAACAAGTATTTGCAGCCTACATGTACCTTTGCTTTTAAAACTATTTTCTAAACATACTTTACTATTTAACGCGCTTCTTTTCCTCGGCCTTCATAACTTAAACTATTTATTTAAAAAATGGGAGGTAACTGAATGTTATTCATTCTTTCTCAAGGGCGTTATTAGTCTCTTCCGGGCCGTTGAATAACTTAAGATTGTTGACTATTAGTTTCAGTCACATTCGATTCAAACGCTAAATTACCCGTGTTGAACAATGATAAGGAAGAGGAAATGTAATCTACGCTTTCATTTTGCTTTCTGAATGTTTTGTGACCCAAAACAAGCGTTCTCCTTTACGGGAAACTGACAAGGCACTAGAGCATTAACACGAAACGAGGTTGACAGTTACCATCCGGTGCTTGGCTCGTTCTTGGCAGTCTTCCAGCGAATTTCGTAGCGGCGCTATCTCTAGCTGCTCATGGTCAGTATTATTTTCCCATTTTTCTAATAGATCGTTCTTATACATCAATATAATGAACACTTACAGAGAATGTGTGATCACTGAACGTTCCGTATTGTTTCAGCGTGCAGTAAAGCAGATAAATAATCTACTAATCGCGGATACGAGACAAGGACTAGTCCCGGCAACGTCGCTGTATCGTTCCCACATCATTTTCGTATATTAGATTTGTGTCCACAAATTCAATTTACTCGGTTAGCAAGTGGTCAAACATCCGTTTTCCGTAGCCAACTACGCACTACATTGCTAGTAACAGTAAACAATACTCGCAACTGAGTACTCGCATCCGACGAAGAGAGAATAAAAACGAGATAAATCCCAAAGGTTGTTTCTAGGGTGTGGCGGTTGCCATAGCAACGCTAAGCGTCTCGTGATTGACTAAAATGTCGGTGCGCAGTTCAACCTTCATTTTTTTGTCTCACCTGTCAAGTGACAAGTAGTTCGGGAGCACTGTCCGAGTCGGATATGGCCCATCGATTCAGGATTATTATGTAAGCTGACGGGTTCTTTACAAAGTTTTTAACATGTCGTTCTTCGCAGGAAGTCCATTTTCATCTGCAGTGGGGCAGCGTATTGAGCAGGCAACTGATGCTTCATTGCCTTCTGAAAATTGGACCTTGAATATGGAAATATGTGACCTAGTCAATGAAAGTGAAGATGGGCCGAAAGATGCAATTAAAGCTATAAGGAAACGTTTGCAGCAAAATGCGGGTAAGAATTATACAGTTGTAATGTATACATTGACCGTTTTGGAAACTTGTGTGAAGAATTGTGGCAGAAAGTTTCATATTTTGGCATGCAATAAAGAGTTTGTTCAAGAGCTTGTGAAACTTATTGGACCTAAGAATGATCCACCAACAGCAGTCCAAGAGAAGGTATTAAGCCTTATACAGAGTTGGGCAGATGCATTCAGACATCAAGGTGAGCTAGCTGGAGTTGTCCAAGTGTATACTGATCTTAAGCAGAAGGGCATCGAATTTCCTATGACCGATCTAGACACAATGGCACCAATCCACACTCCTCAACGTAGTGTTCGTAATTCAGAGCCACCAGCTTCCACTCCAGTTTCTCCGTCAGTGGCAGTGCCAGTAACAGGCCCTCGAACCCCTAGTCCTGCCCATGCTGTCCTCACAGAGCCACACAGCCCTCAGCAGACATCGGGAGCTGTGACGCTCTCTCCAGAGCAATTAGCAAAGTTGCAAAGTGAATTGGATGTTGTGCAAGGAAACATGATGGTGTTGAATGAAATGTTGAGTGAGTTGACACCTGGCAAAGAACATCCTAGTGACATGCAACTGTTGCAAGAGCTGCATGAAACTTGCCAAGCAATGAAACACAGACTGGTGGAATTAATTGGAAAAATTAACAATGATGAAGTCACAGCTGAACTGCTACGTATCAATGATGAACTTAACAATGTTTTCCTGAGATACAGCAGGTTCGAAAACAACAGGAGCCATCCAAATCCTGCTACAGCTGCTCCTGAAAGCTTAGATCTACTGTCTGGCAGCCCTGCATTACAAGATATGGACCTTTTGGATACAACCCCTGCTTCAGATGCTCTCTCACCTGGTTTAGTAGATCAGGCAGATGCATCAAAGAAGGCAGATAAGGAAGATTCAGAATTCGACATGTTTGCCCAGTCCAGAAATGTCACTTACGAATCTTCGAAAAAAGGAGGAAGTACTTACAAAGACAACTTAGATCCTGATCAAGTGAATGGCTCCTTAGGGGCTGTGGCTCAGACAAGAGCTCAAACGGGCCTGACTGGTAACGAGAGAGAATTTGACGAAATGGCTGCATGGCTAAATGACAAGCCTGGAGCTGCTGCCGCCGCTGCTGCTGCTGCTGATGTAAAAGCTGGACCAGAGGAGTCGCTGACTAGTGGAGAATTTGAACGCTTTCTGGCCGAGCGAGCAGCTGCTGCAGATACACTTCCAAATGTGGATGGGGCTAGGCCTGGCTCTGCAACCACTACCCGGCCGCACCATCCAAGGCAGCTGAACAAGGAAGCAGACTCGGAGAGTTCACTTTTTGCATTGTGAGCAGCTTCAAGCCTCTTCCTTGTAGGTCTTATTCGAGTGAGTAATATAAGAATGGCTGATGTATTTTTTTATTGCTGTATGAAATAACAAGTGTTTACTTGACAACTTCCAAAAAATAGCTTTATTTTACCCTATGAACACTGAATTTTAATTCAGAACTTGGAATCTCTTATTCATTCATAGTTGTAATATTACGTTATGAATGTTTTTACAAATTAGTTTGCTAGATCATATTTCAGGTTTTACTGACTTCTGATAATTTTTTCTAGCTGTATTATTTTAGAGGTATTTAGCAAGGGCTAGTTATTCTGGGAATTGTAGACAGCTTCCAAACAATATGTGTATCATTTCTGATGTTATATAATAATAATAATCCATTAACATATCTTTATGAAGGTATTTGGATTATTATTTGTTGAATATCACATAAAATAGATATTTTAAAAAAGTATCAAAAGTGCCAAAACAGAATTTTGGTCATGGATTTTGTTGACTGAAGGATAATAAGGTAATCAAATCCCCTTCATAAAAAATTAAATTTAAACCAAACAAAATTTTTTTAAAAGTTCTGTAAATTGAATGGAATCTCTGTGAAGATTATTGCATAAATGATATCTCTGCATTTTAATTTTAAATACAAATGGAATTAGATCTTAATTTTAAACTCTTTTAAATAACTGTACTATTCTTTGCTTCTGAAACGCAGGCAGAAATAGTATTGGTTTGAATTTATTATGATGATTGTGTTATTATTCGACTTTTTATGTACCTGATTAGTATATTCATAAAAAAGATGAGCTGTGTTCTTCTTATAAAACAAAATGTAAATTTTGAAACGTGATGCCATTCTATGACATGCAATTCCCACGTTATAAATATTTAGCCAATAGGCTCCTTTGTAGATCTGTCCTCTTTACTTCAAATTTGTTCAGTTTCAGCTATCTGAAATATTTGAATATGTTCTAGTTTTAATTTTTTTTTATTTTTATTCATAATATTCCCATTCCACTATTAAAGTTGTAATATTTATGATCTGTTTGTGGAACGTTTGAAACTCCTGTTTTCTCTTTTAATGTTGTGTAGTTAGACAATATATATTGTCTAACTACACAATACCCAAATTGCTGTTTAAATGTGGGAAATCCATGGACTTGAACTCTTGAGTAAAAGTAAAATATTTGGATTATAAATTTCGAAAACTGAAAAATATCATGTGGTTTTAATTAACTCACTTTTGTTTAACTTGCAAACTTGGGTGTGGAGAAGGTAGAAATGGAAACAAAGTTAAGAATATTCTGACCGTTCTTCAAAAGAAAAATTAATACTATTTCTCAATGATTTATTTTGTTTAACCTATAGAACACTTTGGGGATTTTGTCAAAAATCTTATCTAAAAATAATTACGAAACTGGTGAAGCCTAAACTATAAAATTTCTTAAATATAAAAGACATAATTAGGGTTCAGGATTGTAAAACAATTTCGTTAGAATTTTAAAAAAACTATTAAGTAGCATTTCAAATAAAAATGGTTGATATTGTAAGTTATTAGAATACTAAACACCTTTGTCTATTGAGGCTAACATATTGAAATCATCTGGCCAAATGGTATGACAGATTTTAATTTGTTTACATCAATAGACCTGTAGAATTTTTTTATTCCAACAAGTTTTAATATTGACATTTTTAATATGAAAGGATACTCAATAGTTTGTTTAAAAAAAAAATCTTTACTCTCTTTATGTAAGCCTGGCCCAAGGTATGTAATAACTTGTGTTATTTTGGTTTATTTTATGAATTTTATTGTTTGAATCTTCAAGACTCCCAAAAGGGTCAAAATGTTAATTAAATTATTGAAAAAATAGTATTAATGTGTAAGTTTAATTTAAAGTGGGTCAGAACATTTTTAATATTAGTAACGAGTTAACAGGCGATGATATATTCTGTAGAAAAGGAATGTTAGTTTCAGGAGAGTGTTAGTAAGTGTTAAAATTGTATTACAAAGTTGGGAGGGATTTAAAATATATGTAAATCTTGTGAAAATAATCCAGAAATGCCCCCTCCTAGAGGAGCAATACTTATTTGTATTTAAGGCACTGAAGAAGAATTCTATAAATTGGGCTTTTGTAAAAATGTATCATACAATTTACAATGTAGAGCAGTTGATGCTCATTCTCCATCATGGTTCTGAAATGCAGAACTAGGAGTAATTGCTCAGAGAATCAATCATAAGGTGTAATGGCCATTGAAAGTAAACTGTGTACTCTAAAATCATTCATATTTTAGATCAGATTTGTTTTAATGAAATGGATGTTAAACATTCCAACAAGATGACTTCTGTAAAATTGGCCACTGAAAGTAATTTCAAACAATAAATTAATTTTATTAAGCAATGCAAATGTTGTTATTAAAAAAAAAGGAGGCGTTTTTATTCACATAACGTTAATGTCAAAAGGAAACTCTAGGGATGAAGAATGTGTCTTTCTCCTAAGCCATCAATGGAGATCGCTCAGCTCAATGTCGATAGCAAAGACCGATAGCCTTGATTACTGTTAATATTTGTTTGTAGCCAAAGCTGGTCCTTCTTCCATTTTTTAAACTAGCAAATCAGCATTCTCTTTCTGGAGCAACGGCAAGTTTGTTGAAGCATAGGCATAGTCACTTTTGACACACACGATGGGGAATGTGATCTCTACTCTTTGTATCATTTGAAAGATTACTGCCTTGTGTTGGTGTGCAAGCATCTTCTCAACTTATGAAAAAAACAAAGAAAGAAAATATCCATGGTTAAAAAAAATTCAACTTTAATTTTTTTTTCCTTTGATTTTTTTGAAAACTCGTTGCTTATACAACATTTGTAAGAGACCTTTAGGAAAACTATTTTAGAACAAAAATGTGACTATTTTTGTTCTTGTCTGAATTGGTTCATCCCATGGACAATTATTGACTCTTGCACTCTTCTTCTGCGAATACAATAGTTGCAGCTTACTTGACCAGTAGACTGATACTAGTCTTTGCTATTTAAATGTAAATGAGTGGTGTGGATGTTACAACAAATTCGTCCCAAATTGTGAACTTAAGAAAAATTGACATTAGATACGAGAATCTGAAGTTATTTGCAAGACAGTTGAAGTCCGCATTTGAGTGAATACTTCAAAAACCAGTGATGTTCTTACTGAGTAATGAATATACTTCACCAAATTTTAATTGTCCAGATCGTCTTTTAATCTCCAATTTCTTCTTATTCTATAAGTATAGAATGTTACTAGAGTTCAGATAGACAGAAATGTCTATCTTGTTTCAAGGTTGAGAAATGCGACCTTATCTAGTATCACTCAAGCAGGGCTTTAAAAACTGTCTCAGTACAACATTCCTGTCAAGATTTGATCTGCCAACAGCGTTAACACCAATTTTTCTTCCATGAAATTCAGGAAGCTCTCCCTTCCCAATGTTCCTTAATACTTATTTTATAATCCTTCTCAATGGAACTCTTGATAACAAAACACAAGGGACTGAACTCTTTCCTTTGGTGTGAAGAATTTTTTTTGTTGTACAAGTGCATCAACGTAAAAGAGATATAAGGTAAACCAACTGATCTCAAGAAATATCTTCGTGATAGAAGAAAGTTAAGAAGTTTGTTTCAGAGTGTTTATACTGCATTTAGATAGACAAGAACCTGTTCCAGAATAATTAAACAATTTCATCTTGATTAAATTGTAAATAAACATTCCAAAATTTTTACACTATAGTATACAAGTAATATTTAAACGTTTTGTTTTGTAAAACGAGTGTGGCAAATGTTAAAGTAAACTTTCTTATGTATTGTTACATAACATGGTAAAACATTCCTTAGTATGGTGTGCTTCCTGTCAAAGTGTTGGTAATACTGATTTACATACACAGCTATATTTAATCAAATAGAAGTTTTGATGGAAATTATAAAAATAACAACAAAGACAACCTAATACCTCCATAAAGAAAAGAAATCACTTTATTAATTTTATCAAGAATAAAGGGACAGTGTAATATTAAAACAGAATTTTTATCAGTGTATCGTCTCCATGCAGAAAGTTTGTCAGTTTTTATTATTAAGGAATGTTAATCGTTATGTTCAAATAGTATGATGTACAAAACATCATTAAAAATTAAATGTAAATTATAAAAGAAGACGTTTTCACGAACCATGTTGGCAGTGTATTATTTCAGAGTGTAAAATTGATATTATCAATCTGTTGTGGGTTGTGAAATTTTATTTTGTTGTGGAAAAAACTTCTATCTTGAACCAGTTAGAGAAATTAATCTTGGACTGCAACCGAGATAAGTTTTAAATGGAATTAGAATGGTTGTGTGATTTGTAAAGAATTTACTCTTCTATATGATTTTTTCACAAATTGTCAGCTTAGGTGTTTACAGAAACAGTTCAAGAAATGTGTATCAAGAATATTCTTCTAAAATTCATATGACATATTTATTAAACTGTTTTTGTGATGGATATGTATTGTATCATGATTGTGCAGTTCATGAATCTGTGAACAATATTCTATGGAAAACTGTTGATAATAAATACTTATAATAAAAGTCTGAAAGTCCTTTGGGTGTTTGTATTTATTTTTTTCCATTGTCCAATGAATCCCTTGTACAAAAGTAATGTCAGTATTGAACAAACAAAAAGGGAACAATGTTCAAAACCGATTCCTCTCTTTTGCAAACCTCTATCATTAACACAAAAAATTTGTATTTGATTGGGAGGAGATAAATTTAGGACAATTGTTTATGAAATATGTTATTGTAAATTCGTGCCTATACTAATGTGTACACTTATTCATTTTTCAAGTAGGTAAGAAAGGAAATGAATATAACATGTAAAATAATCTAATGAACACCAAACAAAATAAACTTATATTCACAGATAAGTTTTGTCTTAAGACTTGCAAAATTTAAGTTTGAATTCAATAAAGAAAATGTGTATTCTTTCTAATCATGGCATTTCATTGTCAATGCAG